TTCAGTTTTACCAATTTGTTAGCTTTTAGATAGAAGGATCATGTTAACAATTGTATTTCATCAAAGAAATATAAAAAAAACATTACTATTCGAACGAATATTTTTCCGTTACTATCATAATCTTTGAAAAGTCACAGAATACTTCTTATATCTAAAAGTATTATACTAAGGGTAAATAATAAAATTTTCAATATTCTCATTGTATCGGTCATTTGTCTTAATTGTTTATGTGATGAACAAATGAAATGATTCATTAGAAGAGAAAATACGATGCTAATAGATTTCAGGCACAGTCTATTTTAATCAACATACTCTCGGAAAATTTATCGAAATCCATTATTTTTCAAATAACTCTAAATAACCAATTATATATCTAACCAATTTTCTTATATGTCCCAATTAATCTATTATAAACGATTTCCTCACCAATAATCGATTAGAAGCCTAATTAATATTCATAGATTTTGAAAACAATCTATTATAATCCGACTTATTGCGAATACTATATTGAAATTTGTTTTCCTTCGAATAGCTCTAAGTAAGCAATTAGAAATCTAATCAGTATTAATATCTCATGTAAAAAAAGAACTCACAATAAATTAGAATAATATTGATTATGCTCCGAAAAATCAAGAAGAATTGGCTATATGTGCAATGTCGGATTAAACTGAACAATTTAAACAATTATAAGTGATTTCTACAGATGTTGATCATTTAAAACCGATTCGTTTGGCAATAAGTTGAAATGTCAATCAAAAAACCAATCAATCATAATAGATTCTATGAATAATCTGTTAAAATCTGTTATTCAGTATATAATTGAAATAATCCCTGAAAAATCCAATCTATTCTGATCGATTCAATTTTTTATTAATTATTTAGACTGTTAAGTAGATAACAAATTTTAATAGATTATTCTTAGAATCTATTATAATCGATTGGTTTTTTGATTTGATTATCGTTTGTAGAAATCACTTATAATTCATTAAACTATTCAACTTAATCCAACATTGGTATATATAATTTAATTTCTTGTTGCTTTGTGTTTTTTGTTTTACATGTGTAAGTCAGAACGACACACCCAGTTTTCAGCATACTCTACGACGATCAATGTCTAAATTAGTCATCAAGATATTTTGTAAACTACTTTAATCGCATAAGAATTATTCGAACTTAGTATTTCTCTCATCATGAAATCGAGGTGTAAAAAATAAGACTCATCAGTTTTTTATTCTAATTGATTTTAATTGATTTCCAATGTAATTACGCTATTTCTCTTTGAAACAATTTATATAGAGGTTCTAATTTTATTATACTTGGATGACTTTGATTCAATGGTAATCGTATAATTTGTAAACACAAGCATTTCAAATAATCAAACAAAATTTTAGATTTCATGTTCGAATCTCGAGAAAATCACTTATCTTCAATATATAAAATTGTAATGGATTAAAAGGTAAGAGCAAATTATAATAGATTAATAGGTAAGGAACCGTATAAATAAAACAAAATAAATTTACAATCATGTAAAACAATACTCCTCCTTCCTTCGTCTTTTTCAAATTAACGCTGGGTAACATGTCTCAATGTCGAAAAAAAAAGCACAAAAATAAAAGAACATTGATAGATGATAAAATAAATCAAGAAGCTTTCATTCTCTTTGATTAGCATTTTCATTCATTCATTTGTGATTTCAGATTAACATTCTTTAATATTTATTATCTATATTTACGTCACATACAATCAATCAATATGGGTTGTGGAGCATCCTCGCCAATGCCAATAGGCAATCTACCCAACGAACGTTCATCATTATTACCAACATCATCTACTACATTAAATCAACAATTAGATTTAAATCAAAATCCAAAACGAGATCGTAGTCGAATCGTAGTACCTTTAGATGAACTTGTTCAAAATTTTCTTCTTGTATGGTTGGATGAAAAATTCGATGAATCAGTAGACGATTATGGTCATTCAATCAAACAGCTACGACGTACCGTTAATAGGATTGAAACATTCTGCGAAACTGATGAATGTATCGAGTATATACTACAACTTCAAAACCAAAAAATACTTCTTATTATTTCTGGTGCCCTATGTGAAACTGTTGTGCCACGCGTTCATAATATGACACAACTCTATTCAGTTTATGTATTCTGTCAAAAAAAAGAAAAATATGAAGAATGGGGAAAAGACTGGTCCAAAGTGAAAGGTATTTTCACTGAAATTATTTCAATTTGTGATGCAGTTCGACAATCTGCTCGACAATGTGACGAAGATTCTGTCCCAATCGGTTCTGAAATCGAACCCTCATTCATGTATACACAACTTTTCAAAGAAATTATTCTCACAATCGATTTTAATAAAACGAAAGAAGTGAAAGATTTAGTCGAATATGCCTGTAAACAACCGGACTATGTCGAAAATAATGAACAGTTGCAACTTATCAATAAATTTGGTGAAGAGTATGCTAACGATAATATAACCTTCGAAATTATTGATAAATATGGGAACCGCCATCCCGGAACTGTCGATGACAAACCCATTTGGTGGTACACCCAGCAATGTTTTACGTACCAACTTGTCAACAAAGCTCTACGCTCTCTAGACGTTAGTACTCTTCTAAAAATGGGTTTCTTCATCTCTGACGTTCATCGAAATATCGCAAAACTTCATCTCGAACAATCTAATGGAACTCACGCAGTTACTTTACCAAGTACCGTCTATCGAGGTCAAATCATGAGCAAGAAAGATTTTCGAAACAAAATTAAACAAGATAAACTCATATCCTTTAACAATTTCTTATCAACAAGTGAGGATCGCATGATTGCACTCGGCTTTATTTCTTCTAATGACGATAATGTGATCGGTGTTCTATTCACTATAACAATTGATCGATCACATTCATCTTCACCATCATCAGCAGCGATCTTTGCCTCCGTCAGTGCCATTAGCAAGTATTCAGACGAAAAAGAGATTCTCTTCTCTACTCATACCATTTTTCGCGTCCAGAAAATCGAATCCATGAAGGAAAATGGAAGAACATTACAGCAAGTACACCTAACGCTCACCAATGACAACGATGACCATCAGCTAAGTGATCTCACCAAACAATTACGAAAAGATATTACTGGTACAGGATGGCAAAAAATGGGTACATTGTTATGGAAACTCGGCGAGAATAATAAAGCCGAACAATTGTACAACATGTTACTCAACGAGGCATCAAATGAAGATGATGAATCCTACTGTTATCACTGCCTTGGAATTATTAAGCATAATCTAGGACAATACAATGAGGCCATCAAATTTTATCAAAAATCTTTAGATATCAAAGAGAAAACTCTCCCTCCGAATCATCCCGACTTGGCTACTTCCTACAGTAACATCGGTAATGTGTATAAAAACATGGGCGAGTACTCGAAAGCACTTTCATCGTACGAACGATCACTTGAAATCCGAAAAATAGCTCTCCCTCCGAATCATCCCGACTTGGCTACTTCCTACAACAACATCGGTATGGTGTATGATAACATGGGCGAGTACTCGAAAGCACTTTCATCGTACGAAAGATCACTTGAAATCCGAAAAATTGCTCTCCCTCCGAATCATCCCGACTTTGCTCAATCCTACAACAACATCGGTGTAGTGTATAAAAACATGGGCGAGTACTCGAAAGCACTTTCATCGTATGAACGATCACTTCAAATCCGAAAAATAGCTCTCCCTCCGAATCATTCCGACTTGGCTACTTCCTACAACAACATCGGTATGGTGTATGATAACATGGGCGAGTACTCGAAAGCACTTTCATCCCACGAACGATCACTTGAAATCAAAAAAATAGCTCTCCCTCCAAATCATCCCGACTTGGCTTCTTGCTACAACAACATCGGTTTGGTGTATGATAACATGGGCGAGTACTCAAAAGCACTTTCATCGTACGAGCGATCACTTGAAATCCGAAAAATAGCTCTCCCTCCGAATCATCCCGACTTTGCTCAATCCTACAACAACATCGGTTTGGTGTATGATAACATGGGCGAGTACTCGAAAGCACTTTCATATTACGAAAAGGCGCAAGATATATGGAAAAAATCACTACCTACAAATCATCCATATATTGCACTTGTGAAAAGAAACATTGAAAATGTAAAAAAGAAAATGTAATTGTTTTTCTTTTAAACGAGAAAATAAATTAGCCTTCTTGAACACGTTTAGCTCACCGAAGCGCACCAGCTGCAACACATTTCGCGCACGCGCGACCAGGGATACCCTCCGTATTCCGTTGGGTTGTATAGTCGACAAAGCCGGCACTGATAAGGCAAACATACATCTGTGTATGTATGACTAGTACATCCATGATCATCATCTTCGGAAAGACGATGACGCGATGAATGCTTCTGGCCATACATACATAAATGTATGCTATGAAGGCCTACCATCTACACGCCTGTACGGGTTACCAACAGAACGTCGGATATCCCTGGGAAGGTTCATTTTGTTTTAGAGCCACCCTCGAAAGCTCCGTTTGTTTTAAATTTTTT